GGCGGCGATGGCGGCGCGGCGCGCGGTCGCCATGGTAACGGCGGGGCCGGGGGCGCTCCTTAATGAGTTCATTAAGCCCCGGCTCGCCGCTAATTAGCGCCGCCCCGCGCCTGGTCCGCATGGAGAGCCCCCCCCCCGGGCTGCGGGGCTCGGGACGGCGTTAATTGGCGCTAATTAGTGCTGAGGGGGAAATTAGCCGTGTTAGGGGGTAATTAACGCTAATTAGCGCGGCGCGGTGCGGCCGCAGCTGCCGGACATCAGCCGGCGCTAAATAAGTGATCAATGCTTTGCTAACTCATGATCAGCGGTAATTAAGGGCCTAATTAACGATGATTATTAATTAATTAACGTTAATTAACAGGTGGTTTGTCGGTAATTAATCACCGATAATTCCCCGTGTGATTAGCAGGAGTTCGTGGCGTTATTAATAATCATTAGGGGCTTAGGGGTTGTTAATAGCCTAAACAAAGGCAATTAATATGTTAATTAGCAATAATTAAGAACCTTGCGGGTGGGAGTTGTTGAGTTAATTACTGAGTTAATTGTTGAGGTAATTAGTGTCCTGATTAACGGTAATTAACGCCTGTTGCTCACACAACAACAATTGTCGGGTCTTGCAGTTAATTTGTGGCTAATTAAGGGTTAATGTATGGCTAACGAAGGGTTAATGAAAGGTTAATTAAGCGTTAATTGCTAATTAAAGTGTTAATTGCAGGGGCTCTGGGCCGCCCCTCCACCCTGGAGGGGCCTCGGCAGCAGGTGAGACCAAAACGACCCAAAATGGCCCAAAATTGGCCCAAAATTGGCCCAAAATGGCCCAAAATTGGCCCAAATAGATCGAAACGTCCCCAAAATGTCCCCAAATACCCAAAACTTCCCCCAAAAACCCTCCAAAATGTCCTAAAAATGCCCCAAATGTGCCAAAATTCCCCTAAAATCCCCAAATGTCCCAAAACTCCCCTAAAATCCCCCAAATTGCCCCAATAATGCTCCAGAATTCCCACAAAATTCCTGAAACTGCCCGAAAATCCCCCAAAGAAACCCCAAAATGTCCCAAACTGCCCCAAAACATCCCAAAAATCCTGAACATCCCCAAAAAAACCCCAAATGCCCCAAAATCCCCCCGAAATGCCCCAAACTGCCCCAAATATTGAAAAACTGCCCCCAAAACGCTCCAAAATCCTCCAATCTGGCCCCAAAAATGCCCCCCCAAAAAACCCACAAAATATCCCGAAAAGGGCCCAGAATGTCCCAAAATCCCCCAAAAAAGCCCCAAAATCCCCGAAAATGCCCGAAAACGCCCAAAGTGCCCCAAATCCCCCAGGCCCGGCCCCCCTGACCCCCACTCGGTGCTGGGGGTCCGGCCCGGGGCCTCCCCCCGAGAGATCCGGGCGGCGTTCCTGCAGCGCTGCAAGGAGGTGGGACTGGGACGGACTGGGATATACTGGGAGGGACTGGGAGGGACTGGGAGGGACTGGGACGGACTGGGATATACTGGGAGGGACTGGGAGGGACTGGGATATACTGGGAGGGACTGGGAGGGACTGGGATGGACTGGGAATGGAACTGGGATATACTGGGACGGACTGGGATATACTGGGAGGGACTGGGAGGGACTGGGAGGGACTGGGGGGGACTGGGAATGGGATTGGGGGGGACTGGGATGGACTGGGAGGGACTGGGACGGACTGGGATATACTGGGAGGGACTGGGATGGACTGGGAGGGACTGGGACGGACTGGGAGGGACTGGGAATGGGACTGGGACGGACTGGGAGGGACTGGGACAGACTGGGATGGACTGGGAATGGGACTGGGATATACTGGGAGGGACTGAGGGGGACTGGGAATGGGATTGGGGGGGACTGGGATATACTGGGAGAGACTGGGAGGGACTGGGATGGACTGGGATGGAGTGGGATGGACTGGGAGGGGATTGGGGAGGACTGGGATGGACTGGAAGGGACTGGGAGGGAACTGGGAGGGACTGGGAGGGAACTGGGAGGGACTGGGACGGACTGGGATGGACTGGGAGGGACTGGGATGGACTGGGGGGACTGGGACAAACTGGGATGGACTGGGGGGAACTGGGGGGAGCTGGGATGAACTGGGATGAACTGGAATGAACTGGGACAAACTGGGATGAACTGGGATGGACTGGGGGGAGCTGGGATGAACTGGGACGAACCGGGGGGAACTGGGAGCCCCTGGGACCCTACCAAGTGTCCTGGGGGGGGTCTCGGTTTTGGGGACCCCTCCCCAGCCCTGCCCCCCAGGTTCACCCCGACGGGGACCCCTCGGACCCCTCCCGCCACGGCCGCTTCCTGCGCCTGGCCGAGGCCTACGCGGCCCTGAGGGACCCCCGGGGCGCCCCCGGGACCCCCCCCGGGCCCGGGACCCCCCCC